GAGATTAACAAATAAAATTTATAGATGACAGACTATTAAAAAGACCCAAATTTTGTCCCAGACTACGATGATGTAGAATATGAGATTCCAAGTAACAATGCACAATACTAAATGGGATCTACAATTGGTAGTATTAACGGAGTTGGAGATATATACCAGCCCTATGAATAAAAGTAAGCAAAAAATTAATTTGATCATCTTTATCTATAGGAAACTGAACTATACAGGAATCATGTCTACTGGTTTCAAGGATTTCTTATTGAGACCGGAATTGCAAAGATCAATAGTTGATTGTGGTTTTGAGCATCCATCTGAAGGTAAGATAAATAAAAATTAAGATTTTTAGTTTAATAAGAATGTATTCCATAAGCAATGATAGGAGTAGATATAATATGCTAAGCGAAATCTGGAATGGGAAAAACTGCTGTATTTGTGCTTACTACTTTACATCAACTTCACCCATAACCTAAACCAATATGTATCCTTGTATTGTGTCATACAAGGGAACTTGCATTTTAAATTAAAAAAGAATACGATAGGTTTTTGTAACATTTTGGTGATTCTGTGACTTGCAATGTAATTTATGGTGGATAGCCAATCTAAGATCATATAAAAATCTTGACTGAAAAGCCTCCAACTGTTTTAGTGGGTACTCCAGGTAGAATTTTAGCATTGGTGAAGGGTTAGCATTTAAAATTTGAGAATTTAAGAGTCTTTGTTTTGGATGAATGTGATAGAATGCTGAGTGAGCTCGATATGAGGCAAGATGTTTAATAAATTTTCAAAATGACTCCTTACTAGAAATAGGTAATGATGTTTTCTGCCACACTTGGACAAGATATTCGAGTGGTTTGCAAAAAATTTATGAAAAATCCTTTTGAAATCTATATTGACAATGATACTAAACTCACTTTACATGGACTGTAATAATACATCGTAAAACTCAACGAAGACTGTAAAACTAAAAAACTTATTGAACTTTTGGACTCTCTACTTTTCAACCAAGTCATCATATTCGTAAAGACATCCTAAAGAGCTGAAGCTTTGAGCAAGCTATTATCAAAATAGAACTTTCCTTCAACATTTATACATGGACAATTGGTTCAGGAAGAAAGGTAAATAAAAATTGTTCTCGTCTGATCACTTCAATAATAGAATCAAGAGATTTCAAAACTTCAAAGAATTCAAACAAAGAATCATGGTCTCAACTGATCTCTTCGGAAGAGGTATTGATATCGAGAAGGTCAACATAGTTTTTAATTATGACATGCCTGAGAACTCAGACCAATACTTGCACAGAGTAGCAAGAGCTGGTAGATTTGGAACTAAAGGTCTTGCAATAAGTTTTGTATC